TATGCCATTAGCCTTCTTGGCTACAAGGGCGCCCCGTTGACTCATATCCAGCTTCTCCCACATTGGGAACAAGTGCACTGCTAAAAGAACCATCTCCACACAAGCTCTCTCTCTTTCTTCTCTTAAAGTGGGTTCATTTTGGTCTCGATAATTAACAGGGAGCTGAACTTGGACTTCCTGGAAGAAACTGGCCGTCTTAACAATTAGCCTGCAAGAGCCATCCCTGGAGTTGCTTTCTGGCCCAAAGTGACAGTGAACGGTCATTGGGTAGAGCACAGCAAGTGAGAACGACGGCCCAGCCTTGGGGTCGGGCTTTACTTTCCCAGAACAGCTGGAGACATAACCAATCAGTGGCTCACTGAGCTCTACGGGTGTGTCTAACCTACAGGGTTTTGTCAACAAAAGTGGACTTTTTAAAAGAGGAATAAGGGATCTTTTGGAAAAGGCTTTATTTTCCGAAAGGTCTGCGTCTAAACTGGTGCTTTTTTCCAGCAAAGCTCCGAGCCAGAAAAAAGAGGCTGCCATGTTTATGCAAATGAAGCGGGGGGGGGGGGGGGTTGACTCATTTGCAATTGCGATGTGTCTAATTTGCATCCTTTTTACGGGAAAGGGATGCAGTCTAGACACAGCCCAGGAGTCTAGCCAGCAATGAACTAGCCCCATGAATCCTCATCTGCTGGTACAGGCCAGTTGTAGTTCTTCAGTGACATGTGCCATATGGAAATCAATTAAAAAATGTCTTGTCTTTCAACCCCAGGAGTAAAATCCCCCATTTCAGCCTGGGGTTTTCAGGATCCCTCAGGGCTGAGCTAACCCTGCGTTACCTTTGCCTCCTACATGCCTTGTTATAAGGACTGGGTTATGAAGTCATACAGACAGCTAAACCAGTTGGTCCCACCAGCAGGCCCACTGAGTCTATGATCTCCCACCACCCAGCCGGCCAGGCCGTTTGTATGAAGGCCTGCTCTGGACCTGCCTAACCAGTCACCACTGGAGTTCACAGACAAGAGCAGACTAACCAATAACCGTACCTGTAAGATGCATTCTTATCGGTTCACTTTCTGGTTACCTATGTATCGTTCATAGCTCTTACTACGATGCCACCAGAGCATCCATCTGAAGCATTTTGTGCCAGACAGCTCATGTCAGGTGTCATTGGAATGGTGTTGATTTGTGGCATGTGATTACCTGATTTGTACACGTGCCTTAGTGTTGTATCTCACATTAGGAATATGGACCATGTAACTTTATTCCCAATGTAGTACACAGCAGTACCCTCACTGGGGAAGGTGCTCTCAGTGCACACAGATCACTGAGCCCTGTAATGAGACATTAGGGGAAACAACAGGCCTCAGGAGAAGACAAACTCCCCCCGGGTGAGCCTTCCTGAGAACTCTCCAGCGAGCCTGAAATTAACAAGTCGTCGTGATTCCACAAGGGCAGGGGATCAGAACGCCTGGCTCCGGCCTCCATCTTGGGATGTGGCTGTTTTTCCACAGCCTCGTCTGGGGAGCAATTTTGAAACAAAGGATCCCCCCTTTCCAGAGCTATATAAGGCAGGGGGTGAAATCAGAAGTTTTCACTCCTCACTCAAGAGGATGCCTGCAGAGAGCTGAGGAAGACAGACTGACCTGGGCAAAGGGCTGGACCCAGGGTAAAGGTGTCATACCTGCTGTCTGGAAACTGCAAAGCAAATGCAACTCGCGCCTTGAGAATCTACCAAACGGCTGGCGTCATCACTCGAGGTGAGAATCTGTCTTTGCTACTGACTTTAACATGGGTGTTATGCTGACTTTGTGTTTGGTTAGTTGCTGAGATCTGCTTTGACCGGTTTGCTCTCCTTGATGACCACTCAGATCTACCATTTGTAGTTAATCAACTTGTTTGTAGCTTTATCTAAACCAGTGGGCCTTCAAGTGAAAGGTCTGGGAGGGAAATGTGACCTTTGTTAGTACCTGTGTGCATTTTCCCAACTACGTTAAGGGTGGGTGGGTGAACAGGGTAACAAATTCCTACCGGTTGGTGGTTTAACCTGTAGTTCTCTTGCCTGTAGTTCTCTTCCCGTGTCCAGTCAGGGAGCCTGGCTCGTCTCTGCAGATGGGTGGGTCCCTGTTGTGTGGGTGCAGGAGGAAGGGCAGGAGTGGGGTGTTGTCTGCACCTGGCCAGAGCAACACAGTGCCAGTGGGATCCTAGGCTGGTGGCTCAGTGGATCCCCAGCTCCAGGTGGAACCTTGGGGGCCAACCCAGCCCAGACGAGCTGCAGGAAAACCTGCCTAGGACAGAGCAATGGGCGGGTCTCGGATGTAGAACATAAGAACGGCCAGACTGGGCCAGACCAATGGTCCATCGAGCCCAGGATCCCGTCTGCCCACAGTGGTCAGTGCCAGGTGCCTCAGAGGGAGGGAACAGAACAGGGAATCCTCACACGATCTCTCCCCTGTCGCCCATTCCCAGTCTCTAACAGAGGCTATAGACACCATTCCTACCCATCCTGGCTAATAGCCATCGATGGACCTAACCTCCATGAATCTATCTAGCTCTTTTTTGAACCCTGCTCAAGTCCTAGTCCAATGAAAAAGAGCTTGGTAGTTGCTGGGTTGCTTTGTGGACATCGCTGCTTCACCTCGAGTCAACTTCCCATCAGCAACCCGGCTGGGTCAATTAGTTGTCTGCTGGCAGATACAAAACTGCTGTCCTGTGTGGTGGGTCAAGAGTTGAAATCACTGACAAGCAGGAAACACAGAGAGCTGGAATCACTAGGGCTGTACAGAGGGTTTTGCACTAAAACTCAGGAGTGTGCACGCTACCAGGCATTTTTGCGCTAGAAAGAGTACAGCTGATCGTCAGAAGACAGGGCTTTTTGTGCAAGAGTTATTGGTCTTTCTACGAGGAATAAGAATAAGAGCTCTTGCGCCAAAAGGCTGTGAGGATGGGCAGCAGAGGTTTCTTGAACAAGAAATCCCTATCGGAAAAAGCACAGGTGCTCTGTTGGCCAGTCCGCGAATGGCCTTCAGAGCTTTCTTGCGCAAGAGTGTCCATGGCAGTGTGGACACGTTCTTGCGAAGAACCTTATGTGGAAGATCTCTTCCACAAAAAAGTTCTTGCCCAAGAAGCCTGCAGTGTAGATGTAGCCTCCGTTTGGCCCAGATCCAAACCCGTCAGCAGCAGGCGGCCAGCAGCGTGGCTGACCAGTGCATGCAGCTGGTAGGCAGCCAGCAGGAGTGGCCAGGTGGTGGCTGGGGGGAGCGGCCAGCCGGCCGCCAGGGGGTATGGGTGGCCAACGAGCGGGTAAGATGCCTCCTACTCCCCTTCCCTCTCCCATTCCCATAGGTGGGAAGTGAGCTCAGAAAATCACCCCTGAGCTCTGGTCTGCCCTGCCCAAGGGCAGCAACTGTGAGTGGGGTGTGGAGGACATTTGGGTGTGTTAATGGGACACTGACATTGCTGGACTGGGGCTCCAGAGAGGTGAAGGACATTGCTCGACCCATTTGAGCTGCCTCCTACTCCCCTTCCCTCTCCCATTCCCATAGGTGGGAAGTGAGCTCAGAAAATCACCCCTGAGCTCTGGTCTGCCCTGCCCAAGGGCAGCAACTGTGAGTGGGGTGTGGAGGACATTTGGGTGTGTTAATGGGACACTGACATTGCTGGACTGGGGCTCCAGAGAGGTGAAGGACATTGCTCGACCCATTTGAGCTGAGACGTTGACTCCTGGGTTGGGTCTCACCTCTGCCCGTGGAGTTTTCCCAAACACATGCCACGTCACTTCTCTCCCTCTTTCATGAAACATTTCCGTTCCACGCTCAGACTCTGGGCATGCGCATCGGGAAGCATGGCCTCTCGGAGGCGCCCTGGAGGCGTGCAGATTTCCCAGACTGTTGGGTGGGGGTTCAAGCACATTCTGGGTGAGATGGAGGAAAAGGAACCCCTAGATATTGAAGCCGGCCCTGACGGCTGAGCTCAGTTCCGCCAGTGTACACTCACAGAAAGCTGATGCGGTGGACCCTAGAGTATCTAAGCTCGGGGACCAGCACGCACGGGGTGTTCAGGGTGGGTTTTTTTGTGTGTTTTTGCTCCTCCGCTGCATCTTGGAAACATTGATTTTTTTTCTTGGAATTTGCCACAATGGCAGATACGGGTCAGACCTTCCTACAGACCTTGGGGGCTGGGTTTTGTCTTAGGGGGGCTTAAGCCATACGCAGCCTCCAAAGAGCAATTCTTTGCTGACCAGCACGCACGGGGTGTTCAGGGTGGGTTTTTTTGTGTGTTTTTGCTCCTCCGCTGCATCTTGGAAACATTGATTTTTTTTCTTGGAATTTGCCACAATGGCAGATACGGGTCAGACCTTCCTACAGACCTTGGGGGCTGGGTTTTGTCTTAGGGGGGCTTAAGCCATACGCAGCCTCCAAAGAGCAATTCTTTGCTCCGACTGAGCTCTGGTGCTAACCACAGCAGTGTAGTGTTGGCATTACACTGCCCTGTCCCAATCCCATCCAACATCCAAGGACGCACATGGGTGTGTACCCCACAGCACCGCATCTGCTTCTCTGGTCATTTGATGATGCTAACTTGATCAAAGCTCATGCATGCTAGCCCACCTGGGAAACACACCTCCCCACTGCAGGGTGGGCGTACCCCTGTTTGAAATTTAAACATCCTCCCTTTGCAATCAGTTGACTCTTGTGTTCTCTAGGTTGGCTGGGCGGACGCTGACAGGAGAAAGAGATTTCAATATCCCAGCACAAAAGGATATAATGATCAGGAGGGGTAAGGCAGAGGGATGGGAGGTTGCTGTAGCTCTCTGATGTTTCATGCTCCTGGTCCCCTTCTATGGAAATTGCAACTTGTTCAGGAAACGCATTTTCCTCTGCTCATGGACAACTTCCTTATTCAAGTGGAGAGACCCAGCGAGCCCAGGTTTTTGCCCTACGTGGCCAACAAGCACAACCTGTCCGCAGGTTCTCCCTGAATCTCTGATGCTTTTCTGTTTCTAGATACGAAATATGGAGACAGCAGAAAGAAGGAATCAAACACCCATCGTGGAATTGATTCTTGTCGGGTTTGGAAACGGCCCTGAACTTCAGCCCCTCCTCTTCCTCCTGTTTCTAGTGATCTACATAGCAGCTCTGGCCGGGAACCTCCTCATCTTTGTGCTAGTGGTGCCTGATTCGCACCTTCACACCCCCATGTACTATTTTGTGGCCAACTTGTCCGCTGTGGAGATCTGCTCCGTCTCCACCACCCTGCCCAGGCTGATTGGCAGTCTGGCGACCGGGGACAGAACCATTTCTCTACAGAACTGCTATGTGCAATTCTATATCTCTGTTATCCTCTCCAATGCAGAATGTCTGCTGCTCACGGCCATGTGCTACGATCGGTATCTAGCGATCTGCCACCCCCTCCGTTACAATGCTCTCATGAACGGCCAGGTTTGCGGTCACTTGGTGGCCTGGGCCTGGATATTCGGCATTTCCTACTACGTCATGCTGCACATTTTCATTCTGCAATTAAGATACTGTGGTCCCAAAGAATTTGACCATTTCATCTGTGATTTCTCAGTCCTTGCAGAATCGTTCTGTGGCAACACCAGGATTCTGAATTTGCTGTCCTTTCTTTTGTCTGTCATTGTGAACGTTGGGATCTTTCTCGTGACCCTGACGTCCTACATTTGCATTATCGCCAGCATCCTGAGAATCCCTTCCGGCACCGGCAGGCAAAAGGCCTTTTCCACCTGCTCCTCCCACCTCACCGTGGTCACAGGTTACTATGTGAGTGTAATTATAGTCTATGTAGTTCCGCTGTTCAACCCTCCCGCAATTGTGTACAAAATAATGTCTCTCTGGTTCGCAATCCTGATCCCCTTGCTCAATCCTGTCATCTACTGCCTGAGAAACAAGGAGGTCCATCAGGCCCTGAGGAAAACTCTTCGGAAACTGGCTGCTTTTAGACACAGGCCTGAAGTGTGAAAGGTCAAATTGTGATATATAGGGGTATGTCTACACTACA